TTGTGCATTTTAATAATATTTTTCCCATTCGATCATATTCAAATGAAAGATTGAACCACATATCTACTTTAGCAAGATTATCTAAAGGTGCAAAATATTCTGAAATTTAATTTAGGATCATTTATAAACATCCTATCAGAACTCCTTTTCCTAATCTCCCTAACAACTATTAAAAAGATATCTAAAGTATTTAAAAAGAAGGTGCTTATGGCACATTCCGAGTTTGCACTCAGTACTGCATCAGAATTTTGCACAAACTATTCCACTTTTAGTTACCTTTTAACTTTCATGCCATACTGTATGGTAAATCATATAAACACAATTATAAAACAATTGAGATTTTATGATCTGCAATGAATCACTAGATCTATCTTCAGCCCACCCTCCTTTTCTCTCGATATTGCATGCTGAGGTCCAACGTTATTTCCAAGACCAAATTATCCAGATTTCATCAAAATGATATATTTGAAACAGAGTTGACAAGCAATCAAGAAATACAGAAGGATTATTGAGTAATATAATATTCATCTTAATATAGCTATAGTTTGAAATTAATTTAGGCTATCCTTTACTGCATCTAAAACATAAAGGCAGTTCATGTGTGTCTATCTCTACATTTGTAACTTAGTCTATATTGCAAGAAGGAGGATGATAGGGATTCTATCTTTCCATGCTTTTCATAATTTTTAAACAACTCGTGAGATTGTAAGATTTCAATTGCGTTAAGTAATTACACAATCTTGGAATTCCTGAAATATGCTGATTGCAGATTTCATAAGATTTTAAAATAATCTCTTCTATTAGTTCAAGATGCTGCAAAATCTGGGCAGAGCCCAGAGAATAAAGAACAGGATAAAACTGACTTTGCATTAAACTAAATTAAATATAGCTAAATAGCTTTTCCCATTTGTCATATTAAAGACTATAATTTGACGCAAGACCCAATTCAGATAATGGTTTTAAGTGTGGTGGAAGAAATGTGAAGACACATTTATTTTCAGATTAGCAAATGAGTGTCTGGACTATTTCCTTCAAGCATACTTAAAATGTTCTCTTTATCTTCAACCTTACCTTTGTTGCATTTTAGTTTCCTTTGACATCAAAGGAATTTAGCATCATTCTAGCAGACAAGTCCATTGATCTTAATTGGATTTAAGCACAAATAACTTTCTAAGAAATGAGAACATCCTTTCAAAGTTTTGATACTAAACTTACATCCTAGAAATTTAACTGCTATTAAATCTAAAAGACAAATGTTATATCATTGCAGTGAAGGATCTTGTTGGCTGTGAAATCATACATATATTTACACAGAGGTAAAACTCATTCCCATATAAGCATGAATAGGATTGCAAATTCAATCTATTTCTAAAGAATAAATACATAAATCATTTTTCCAACATTCCTAAATAGCATAAGCATGCCTTATATTTTTGATTATTAAACGAAACTTCAAAAACAATATAGGTATTGGAAATCTTTCAATCAGTAGAGTAATCCTCACTAAATCAGTAAGGTCATAGTCAGAGAGAAGCAAATATTCATTGTTTTTTTGTATGTAAAAATCTGACTAGAATTTGCAGACAGAACATATAGGAATTAATCCTTTGATAGATCAGTTAAAAATAAGCAGCATTTCAGTTCTATGTCCCACATAGTTATACAGTTTCCACTACATGAAGAAGGGAAAGAAGGTTAGGGGCATAATTTGCCATTCACGGGTCTTCAGATCTTAAAGTTTGAAAAACTTTGGTAATGAGACTTTGCAAACCTTTTAAATGTCTATATTATATTCCCATGGAATTTAAAGTGCGCCTTCTATGCATTCCTTGAGTCTGGTCTTATTACAATTTGATGTTAAACAGAAAGTAGAAACCTTGTGCAACTAGATTAATTTATCTCTGGGGAACAAAAACATTAATAACTGAGATAATGTTTTCATATATGTTGGAAGCTTGGTGCAGATCCCTTTTTTTACTAGAAACACTAAAAAAATATCTCATCCTCATCTATAACATCTAATTTTTGGAAAAGTTTATTTACAAGAATACTAGGAAAGAATTAGTTACATTAACTTAAAACAAACACATTAGAAATAATACTGACTTTCAAAGGAATCAATTCCTGTATTAATATTTACTTGTGAAGTTCAGTGCTATTTTTTCTGTTAAACAAATAAATCAGAGCTTATTGTCTTTGCATAAAATTTAACATTTTTTCCCCAGCTAAAAATGGGCCAATGGAAAATTAAAAGAATCACAACAGAAATGAATCATATTCTTGGCTTCCTAAAGAAATTGTCTTTTCCCTGTACTATAAAAAAAAAAAAATCACTTGGCTGATTGATAAAAGACTGTACAATTTCCCAATGAACACCCATAGGTGTCAGACCATCTTGTGAGGTAATGGAATGGTGTTTAATTTACTTCAAACTGCTGTATATTGAACTGTATGGATTACATACAAAGCAAACATTAAATGTGTGGCAGGAACTCTTGCACAGAGAAGCCAAAAAAATGTGTCTACGGCATCCAACTACACATCAAATGAAATAATCCTGATATTTGCCAAATAAATAAAAGATTGCTACATCTGCATTAGAGTTTATTTGCCTCTGTGCTAATCCTTCATTGGTTTTCTAATCATATCAAAAATTATTTGAAGACCATTAAGAATCAGAAATTTTAGGACACGTGAAAAGAATGAAGAGTAAGAAACTGGATTCTTCATTTGTAAAACATTTTGCTGGTTTTTAAGTAGATGTAGTTGAATGTGCCAACCCAGGTTAATCAATAGTGGGGTCTGCTAGAAATTGCCATAAAAGTCTCAAATTGTCGCGTGACCATAAGATGATGCAATCTGCCATAATTGCGAGCCAGTTGTGAAACACTGAATTGCAATCATGTGGTCATGGCATGGGGCAATGTTTGTAAGTTCGAATTTGAGTCATAACTGAAACTCATAACTGAGGCCATCATTAATTTGAACCAGTGTTACGCACAGTCATAGGTCGAGGATTATCTGTATTAATTGCAATTATTTTGTCACCAAAATAATGCCTGCAGACTACTTTCACATTCCCATTATTTATCTGTCTTTTCTCCAAATCCTCTTTAGACCCATTACAACTCAGTGTCTGCAATTCACAAAGTATGGACTTGACCATTCTTGGACCTATACTACCAGTATTTTATTTCCAAAATGGCAAACATTCTGGCTCAATTATACTTCAATACAAATGTTATCTAGCTTTACCTACCCAAGCATATATATATGAAAGGAATCAAGAAAAAAGCAAAAAGTGCAAGAAAAGAAAAATGTTGAAAAAGAGACAAGAAAAAATATATACCAAGTGGCTTCAAATATTCTTCACAGCAGTTACAAATATATTTTAATTTGTCTTTCTAAAGTTACATCATATTAATCTTCCTTCTATAATCTATCCTAACTCATCATCAAAACCATAAGTCACAAGTTCATTTTTTCATGCTTATCCAAAAAAATCCATAGGAGGAAACCAGTTACCTGATTGTAAATAATGTAAATAATGTAAATTAGGTAAATAACATCTTTTCTCTAACCAAAGAAGTCAATTTATCCATTTCAGCAAGATCTGAAAACTTCTTTCATAGTGTGTAGTCTCAAATCCAAGCTTCTTTTCCTCCATCCAATACTACACTGCCTGATTGTTTGACTGATTCTTTTGTTGAATGTTATATTGCCATAACAATGTAAGACTAAACCAAGACTAAACCTTTACATTTCCTTCTAAGCCTTTATATTCAGTTACTGCATTATATTGTATCCTACTAACTGTATATACAGCCTTAAATGTACCCATTTCCCTCTCTCCTTAGTTTATTTATGGTAAATCTATATTTGAGATATGGATTTCTTTCTACATAGTGTAGCAAAGATGCAGTTCTTCTTCTCATTCTCTCCACACAATTCTGATTCACCCTCTGATCATCTCCCATATCATTACCATGTTCTCTGTCTTTGATTGTCACATCTTATGTCTCTCATTTTTATTAACTTGAAAAGACACTCAACTTTAATACTTGCACTAGTTTTTTCCTCTTCTAACCCAATTTTTTTTATTGCATACAATGTAATGTGGTGTGCCAATGAATGAACAGCAGAACACTTGATTCATAAGCTTTTTTGTTCCTTCTGTCTATTAATGAGACAGAAGGTCTTGCTTCATTTTGTCTCACAGGAAAATTTAATGTTGGTTTACTAGTCAGAATCAAAATACGATTTAACATAGAATAGATACAAAACTATGGTTCAGAGTCCCCACACTAAAATTCCAGAATGCTACATCAAAATGCTACATCAAGGCAAGAGGACGAATTTCCAGCTTCCTAAAATACAGTTTTAAGAATTTGGAACTATTATCTGAAAAAAAGCCTTTAAAAATCACAGTGCATGTAAACCTAATCAACATGCTTTTGTCAACCAGTAAAACATTGTACTCAGTAGAATATATGCTACCGTAGCTAAGAGAAAAAATTGCTTAAATAAATATAGCTTTAATGGGACACCAGATTTGGCTCAAAATCCAGCTGATTGCCAAATGGAAGTGTTTTCTGTTACCTCTCTTCTGCCATCTAGTGGTTGTGCAGATTTTGCAGGACTTACTTTCAGATATTTTTCACTTTTAGAAAAAACAATAAAAAGGCCTATTTTCTCCCTGCTCAAAATATTTGTGATAAAAGCTTTACACAAAATGTCACTTTTTAAAACTACTACAATAGCCAGAAGCTCACTTGTTTCAGAATCTAATTAATTTTACCATTTCCATTGGTTCCTTATGACTGCTAATAATATGAAAAGATTGGACGGAAATGCCATACTGAGGATGAAGAGGCTCAGATGTTCCATGCTAATACTGTGAGTGCACAAACTGAAATCTACCATTTTATTGACAATAAAAACAAATGAAATCAACATCTCACAAAACGAAGCTCCCATTTGGATTTTAACCTGTGACTTACTTCCCAGAGATGCTGAGTGTTTCTCGCTCCTGTTTGCACCTTTTCTGGCAGAAGGAGAACTCCCTGGAAAGGCCCAATCCATGTTCCCTGTTGAATCCTCTGGGCTGCACAGATGCCATAGGCCAAGCCAGGAACAGTGCTGGTGCACAGACATACTTCTCGTGGCAGATCCCGAAGCCATTCCGGAATCTCAGGGGGAGGAACTGCTGCTGCCGCACTACTAGTTCCCACCAGGCGGCGCAGAGAGTGCAGAGGTCCATGCATGGGACATTCTCCATTTCTGTTATCGGCACACATGTCACACCCTGTGAAGACAAAGAGAATGGCGAATGTTAAAGTGCGGTTCTGATTTCTAGGCTGATAAATAAGAATTCATCCACTACATTTTAAATGCAAATATCTTAGAAAAAACATAGGAATAGATTTGTTGAGCACTCTTGCTTGGAGAACTGATAAATAAAGCACGTTAAAAGAGCTTGCCTAGACACCTCACCCCAAAATATGACAGAGACCATGCTCAAAACAGTGGCTTGGACTGAGCAGAGAGAAAGGCAACCAAGTCCAGAGCATGCATTGCCACAGATAGTGGAGCATTTATCTAGAATGGCATACAGCAAGTAGGCTGCAAGTTGAGGCATGGACTAGTAGTATAGAAAGGTGTCCGAGGTCAGAAGCCTGCTGTGTTTAGATATGATACAAAATATGGCTGTCACTTGCAGTGATGGAGGGGTTGATTGCCCCCCTTTACTCAAAGAGTAAAAATATTGGACTAGCTTTGCATCTAAACCAATTTATATGAAAGGCAGTTCTATTGACTGGAATGAGATTTATTTTCTAGGAAGTCTACACTGGGCAGCACTGCATCTTACTATCTTCCAACTGATTTGTAGATTAAAACTAAAGAGGTTTATTTTAACAAAGCATTCAGCATCAAGGCCTGGTTCGCACATATAAATCAAGATTTATTATGTCCTTCATAATACACAAACTATGATTTATTTGGAACAAAGAATCATCCAAATTAGAGCTTTCCACACCCTGGGTTGATTTAACAATTTTTTAAATTCTAAAACGTTGCATTATTAATTTGCACATAGCCAAAGGTATGAAATTACATTTTTCCCCATTACTATTTCAGTTACATTGGATTACAGTTAATATCTAATAAAGCATACAGCCTTTTTAATATTGGGGTGGTCTTCAAAATGACCGCCCCAAAAAGGCTAATGTTAAAGGGTTTTTAAAAAACCATATGAAACCTTTTTATAATTCTCTCAGGCACTATATCCTCCAAAGCTGTAGAACTATAGTTTTGCTAATTTATTATATTATGATTTTACTGTATGTGCTGTCATTATTATTCCTATTATTGATTTCATATTGGCTTTTCTAGAATAGATTTCTATTAATTTGCAAGCTACACAAAGAGCGATGGTTATTGGATGTCTTAGAAAGCAACAAATTAATAATTTTATTAATACAAAATACTGCTGCAACAAATGGGCAACATCTTTATGTTACATTAAATTTTTAACTGATAATCTTGAATAAAGAGAATTTTATAAGGGTTTTTTTCTATTTCAAGTCAATAGTTTCCACATTATTTATATATTTTAAGGTCTGGACTTCCAAGAACATTGCTTATTCACAGAAATATATTTTGCAAATAAAATAAAAATGAACTTCTTTGAATTAACTACAGTCCCTAGCATATTTGGGACATTAAAACACAATGAAAGGTTTCAAATGCTGTTCCAGAAATATATTCAAAAAGTAATGCTTGTTCTTTATTTACATAGTAATTCCTTTCACCCCAATAATTTTGCATCATATACATCTTGCAGCTAAAAATAAAACAAAACTATTCACTAGTTGGTTGGGGATTTGGTGGTCTAAACCATAAATTTGAAATAAGTATGCATCCTGGAACCACAAGTAATAAGCCTAGTAGAATTGATATAGTTTTCTTTCCTCCTGTGTCAAATAAATTTTAGTCAAGTTTAATGTTTCAGAGAGCACAAAAATCCTTTCTATTCAACACAGTTATCAATTATATAATTAAAATCTATTTATTCTGCTGTTACTAAACTAGCAGCTACTATTTAGTTTCAAAACCATTTTCCAATAAATTGCTCAAAGGGTGAATATAAATTTCATTTTCTTTACAGTCACCTATATCAGCAATCTACAACCTTGCATCTTCAAATCTGTCATATTACAATTCCATCATCCCCAGCCAACCTTAAGTAGCTGGGGTGGTTGGGAATAAACTTGCACATTTGCAAAGACCCAGGTTAAGAAACATACACATTATACATTGCAATTTGAATAATCCTATAAAAATAGGTTTGTTTTGGAAACAGTAGTAAGTTCTTGGTTTTTTGATGTCATTTTAGTTTCAAATCCATAAAATACTGGTGACAGTTGAAAAAGTAGGCATGCAGAACCTTCTTAGGTACACGAAAATAAGTGTGGATAGATACCAACAGAAAATTCATTTGAAGAGGTTCATGTTTTTCGGTCAGTATATTTATGATCCAAGTAGTCAGATCACTTTCAAGTGCAACATTCTTGATCCCTCAGTTCTGAAACCATTTACATCTATCCATAGTGTAAACAAACCCTTCCAACATTTTCCTCCCACCATGTCCTCATCAATGTTATCATCATGTTCCTTTCCATGAGGGAGACAGGGTTGATTTTTCCTCATCTGCCAGCATTGAAGAACTGTTTTCCTCCTTCATTTGACATAGCCACAGGCAAGCTCAAAACTTGTTAGCCTTTGGAGGGAATTCAGATATTAGGCAGATACTACAAAGACAACAGGGAAAGGGCAGGATTCAGCAGTGGGGACAATGACTTCATTTTGGTACAGTTTTCTGCTAACACAAGGATAAGTAGATAGCAGTATAACTTAGTGGTGAGGAAAGACCCATAAACTAGGGTGCTTACAAAAGATGATTCTTAATTCTAGAACTCAAAATATATTTTCTTGGCCATTCTCTCCTTTCCTGCTTAATAGATATATTTAAACAGCAAAATAAAAGGAAGTGATGGACTTTCATAAATTTCCATAACTGGGGCCCACGACTTCACAAAAAAAGCCTTGTTAAGCATTTAAACTACAGCTTGGTGGGTCTGACATCCTACACATCCTGCAGCCAACTGGAGGATGGGAGGGACAAGGAAAGATTAAACGGCCAAGGTTGTAGATTGTTCCCATTCCAACCTAAGTCATTACATTTATATGCAATGTAGGAAAATTTATATAGGAAAAAAAATATGATTATACAAGCATTTAACTTTGCTATACCTAATAATTATCATTCCTCTTCATGAATAAGTTTCATATATAACCCTCTTTACATGTTGAACTACTCGAAGTTAGTTTAATTGTTGGCTTTGATGAACTTTAAATCTATTTAAATTCTAGACCAAGAAAATATACTTCTACCTTCAAGGCCTCGTACCATTGATTCTTTAGGACAATTTTCAATGCACATCGATCAATGCTGTTCAATCTTTTAATTTTAGACTACTCTCCCTGGATGGAATATGAACAGGCAAAATAAATCCTGAAGCAAATGATACACAGGACAGCAAACAAATCTAGGGAAGACCCCAGCCTTCTTTTCACTAGTACACAACAGCTAGATTGGCGGGTAGCTACCTGCTACCTTACATAGCTAAAAACACTTAGCCATCAGAAAGCTTTCTCTCTTGCCTGATGCCATGTTCTACACAGTATTGGATGGTAAATAAAGAAAAATATCCTTGGCTTTGCACTTGTGATTCCGGAAAGGAGGAAACTACAGAACTTATTCTATTTATTGCTCTGTTTTCAGAGATGTTTGAATCAGATTCATACTACCTCTGGTCAGTTGGATATCCCAATTATGCAGATTCAGCCTATGTCTAGCGGCTGCTCATAGACAAACTACCTTTTGTTACAGTGCATGTAAGCAGGTTTTGTGCAGCAGCATGGAAGATCTACCAAACCCTGATGGGACAATTTTCCCGCATGCAATCTCTGTAATTATAATTTACATATATTTCAGATATTTTCATTTGTAATTATAGGTGTTCTTATCTCTAATGTTAGTTACAACTTATATTAAGTATGAGCATCAGTTATAGATCTTAGATAGTTTTATAAATATATTCTAACTTTGTCTTAAACGATTTCATTATCTATTAAGATAAATATAACTGACCAAGATAATAATTGCAGTATATGCAAGTAAACAAGTTCTCAAATGCAACAGAATCTACACATTTATTCAGAAGCAGAATTGCAGGTTTTATTTTTTTTTTTAAAGAAAAAGAGCAGACCACCATCAGGCTTTATTCTCATTATTCAGTAATAATCCAAACAATTCAGCTAGCTAACATTTCTCCTTATTATTTTCATAGAAGTGTTAATTTAAATATGACCTGCCTGTGTATTTTGTAATAATTTAACATAAAATGTGACTTGGATTAAATTAGATTTTTTTATACAATAAACAATGTTAAAATGACCAAAAACAGGATAGAAATTTGGTATGTCTCAAGATATAGGATACGTATGGTCAAAATTTCAGTTGCATTTCAGTGCAGACCCTTGATTCTAGAATAATTTGTTCCCTGCTGACAATCTTGTAGATGTGTAACCTCCTCCCAGCTTCCTGATTATTAATGGCTCTCTTGGAGACACCATGTCTACCAAGCAGCTTCAATTAAACGAAGCCAAAGCATCTTTTTGTTTTTTACTCTAACCATACAGTTTCAGGATCAAACTCTTATATTTAACATATAGTATCGCTCACATTTATGCACATGTGGTCTTCAAAACATCATATAAACATACAGTTCTGAGATGGTTATACACACTCATTATAAACGCAGTTTTGGGAACTTTTTTCTGAAGTGCTGCCCAAAATGTAAAAATCAGCATTACAAATTAGAAGAACAAATTGTAGACTACGTGCCAAGGAGTATTTTCCATTACTAGGAATAGATTCTACCTGGACAATTATGGAACTGAACTGTTTGTTTTATATTAAAAAATTATCTGCTTAACTACTCAGTACCATTCTTTATGTTTTCCACTATTCATAATAAGGTACCATAAACAGAAGGACATTATTGCTGTGGCCATATTTAATATTCTATTATAAATTATTACACATGTTTTGATAATTTGCATTGAATTCTATCTAACACTAGTGCTCTTGCATAAAATTTATACAAATGCAGCTTGATCGCTTGCTAGATGTATTATATTCCAAAAAGTTTCTAAAACTAACTAACTCAGTTATTGTCT